CCATTCCCAGCGAAGCGCTTGCTTGAGGTGATCAACACTTTGGTATTTTTTAGTGCCGATGAAAATAGGGCTCGCTGTGATCGAAAACAGTACTTTGCTCATGTATTTCAAAATTCAAATAGCGTCGGTGTATCAGAACTTTTACATATAGAAAATTTGACATTACATATGTACAGAGTAAGATAAAAAACTGCAATTAAGTCAAACGCCATAATTTTTACATTTTTTAAAAATTTTATTGAATGAAAGCAAAAAATCGGAAAATAACGTCAAATTTTAAAATAAGCTTAGATTTTTTCGAATTGGTCACCTCTGGCCTTCAAACGACCAATGAAACCGTCACACGCTGCCCGAATGTTGCTCTGCGGTATTTTGGCCCATTCCCGGCGAAGCACTTGCTTGAGGTGATCGACACTTTGGTATTTTTTAGTGCCAACCTTGCTTTCCGGATTGGTATCCGGAGATTTTGGTGCCATTTTGTAACGTGCTAAGTGCAATGGTGGTGAGTCCTGTTGGAATGTCCAAGGTCTGCGGCCAAAATGTTTGCGTGTCCAAGGCTTTTATACACCCTCCAGAATATTTTTCCGATAATATTCGGCATTTATTCTGATGCCACCGTCGATTAATATGAGCGGAGAGCGACCATCGGCTCTTATGGCGGTCCACACCATCACCATGACCGACGCAATGAAAGCACAGAAGAAAAGATAAAAAACAGCTATAAATTGTAAACAAATTTTGGCATTAAATTTAATTTAAAAAATTTACATTAATACCTTGTTATTGTACCATGTACTGACTTATATATTAGATCATCCGATATGACCAGTTGATTTTATCCGTATTGTTAAAATGTATGTAATTTTTAATCGGACTTATGAAAACGTAAACGAAAATGTTTACCTGATTGGTTTAATGGACTTTGCACCATTCAATATCGACCCTAGGTTGTGGTGCCGTTCTTGTGCACATAGCTAACAGGTGCGTTTAAAAGTTAGCTATTGAGTCGTATGATTTATTTGAATTACATGTTCACACACAGATTGATATAAACACAGAAGTAATTGGCAACATTTCACTGTGTGACCATGGTAGAAGAATACAGGTAGTCGCATCGACACAGCTGCTTGGACAATGAACTGTCAAACCGATTTTAAAATTGAAAATAGTGAATGAACAATTATTGAAATTTGTAAAACTTGTCGAAAAATACATAGTATTACAACCTCCGATTTGCGTCATATAAGAAAACATATAAAAATCGACTTATTTTTGACAAAGCACTTAAAAAATTTTGACATATCAATGTTCCCAAGCGTTGAAGCATCTACCTATATTCTTCTACCATGGGTGTGACCAAAGTGTAACAGCATATATGACTTATGTGGTTCTAAATAGACATTTATTGCTTTTGTAATATATATATATATATATATATATATATATATATATATATATATATATATATATATATATATATATATATATATATATATATATATATATATATATATATATATATATATATATATATATATATATATATATATATATATATATATATATATATATATATATTTATATACCTATAAAAATACGTCTAATTTCAACATGAATTTATCTTCATATCCACGAAATGTTGTTTTCAAACAATTCTAAAGAAATCTATATAAATTTTCCTTGCAAATTCTTTTCTTATTTAAAATTAACGAAAATATACGGTCTTTACTTTCTTTGCATTTCAGGCCGTTTGACCATCTTGTTTGTTTGCGTGTCTTGCATTGCCAAGTCGCTCGCAATTCTGTCACAATGGAGAATAATAACAATACAAATTATGTAATTTACCGGTGTAAGCGTGTTTTGCTAATTATTTTTAGCTTAAACGCGGTCTTCAGTGTTTGCAGACCAACTTCCAATAATTTCATATAAGTGTCGGTTAATTTTCCACTCTTTATTTCAAGAACAAGAAAAAGAAAAAATCCCCAAATTCGCATCAAACATTCTTAATTGGTTTGGTTGTTCGTGCAAAAAAGTGCAGGTTGCAAAACAAAAATCCCCAGCCAGTTACATCCAACATGTTGTTAGCATTGACCTTTCGCATTGTTGTCGAGCAACTTGTTGTGTTGGGATCATTTGTATGGATACAGTAGGCGGATTTAGTTAGGGATGACAGTATGGAAATTCACACATCATGTTCTCTGCCATAAGGTGGAGATTATTTTAATTTTGGTACCATCAAAATAGGTAAGTAAGTTAAAGTAAGTAAAAGTTAAAGTACCCAACATACCAAAAATACAATACAGCTTGAGAATAATATTATGAAAACAGTTTATCACAAGAATTCTTCAACAATGCTAGAGAAAAACTTTTTTTGCACAAACTTTTCTCAAATCTGTCCTTTGTTCGTTTTGATTTTTTTTGTGAAAATTGTCGACAAAATAATATTTTCTTTGGTTAAAATCAAAATCACGCGAATTAAGGACTCATTTCCGGACGAAACTCTAAGGTAATGATGAATAATAAATCTGGGAATCTGTAGTATATATTATTGCAATCTCATTTCAGAATAGAGGCGTCAAAAAGTTGCAAGAATTTAAGAGAAGTGAAAAATTAGTGGAGCAGATGCAGAAGCTCAAATTAGAAAGCATCTAGGTATCAATGCAACAGGAGGCAGTGACAGCTGGGATGGCTATCAATGAATGAAATGTGTAAAATAATTTAAAAAATGGAAAAATATATATTTTATACCATTGAAAAAATAAGCTTGATATAATATTACTTTCGTAAGCTTATTCTGCAATTACAAGAATAAGCTTATGAATAAGGGTTCCGTTTCGATTATTCTATAATTGTTAAACAAGCATTTCTCAATACATTCTTAAGCTTAAGGCTTATGTTTGTAGGCTTTTTAAAGTATTCTTCTCAAGACAATTTGTTATGTTGGGTATATCGATCATTGAGTTTGTAAAGAACATGCAATAATATAATATCAAAGTTGTCGATATTACGGAACTAAGAATAATCAGCTAGTTATTTTGCCGTAATGCTACTCATTTCAATAAGTGGTCCCAAATTCAACTAAGTGTTCCTTCTTCTCAAAAGTAAAAATTTGCTTACTTTGCTTTAAATTTTTTCCTTGGATGGACGCTGATGAGATTAATATCGATTTTTTGGTCTAATACTTTTTCGTACTAAGTACGGATTTTTTGCAGACAGGAAAAAAAAAACAATTCGGTGTTTTGACCTGCGGACTTTCCACTTTATGTTTGAATTGTTTAAACGATCTGTCGAATTTTTTCATAATTTGAAAACCTTCTGTGTCCAGCAGTTTGTAAACAAACAAAATGATCGTGTTTACTTGCCAAAGAGGTCAGCTGAAAATGTGCACCTTCGGTTGGCCACCAGAACTCAAGCGCGGGTCATGGTGATGCGGTGGGCCACCATAACAGCCGATGGTCGCTCTCCGCTCGTATTAACCGACCGTGGCATCATAATAAATGCCGAATATTATCGCGAAAATATTCTGGAGTGTGTATAAAGCCTTGGGCACGCAAATATTTTAGCCGCATACCTTGGACATTCCAGGAATCAGCACCATCGCACTTAGCACGCGCCACCCAAGAATGGTTACAAAATGAGGTTCGTCGCTTCATTTCCAGCGCACAATGGCCACCAAAATCTCCGGATACCAATCCGTTGGACTATTGTGTCTGGCGTATTTTGGAAAGCAAGGTAAGTAATGTCGCTAATATCATCATAATACCGAATATCGGGAGGAACCGTTATATAGGGGCTATACGAAGACGTGGACCTGCACAGACAATTTTCAGTTATAGGCTGTAGTACTCATTACGAACTTTAAATACTAAATTTAAAATAGTTCCGGTAAATAATGTCGCTAAAATCACCAAAATACCGAAAATCCGGGGCTATACGAAGACGTGGACCTGCACAGACAATTTTCTGTCATAGGTTGTAGTATTCATTACGAACTTCAAATACTAAATTTGAAATAGTTTCAGTAAATAATGTCGCTAAAATCATCAAAATATCGAATATCGGGGGAACCGTTATATGGGGGCTATACGAAGACGTGGACCTACATAGCCCATTTTCTGTCTTATGCTCGAACTTCGAGTACCAAATTTGAAACAATTCCGGTAAATAATTTTGCTAAAATCATCAAAATACCGAATATCGGGAGGTACCGTTATATGGGGCTATACGAAGACGTGGACTTACATGGCCCATTTTCTGTTTTAGGCTGTAGTATCCATTACAAACTTGAAATACCAATTTTGATACAATTCCTTTAAATAATGTTGCTAAAATCATCAAAATACCGCATATTGGGAGGTACCGTTATATGGAGGCTATACGAAGATGTGGACCTACTTTGTCAATTTTCAAAGTCCTGCAGACATAATACACATTTGAGTAAATTTTTATCGACTTACTTCATTTCGTTCGGAAGCTAGAGTAACGGATAGACGGACGGATATAGAATTTTATGCTGATCAATAATATATATACTTTGTGGGGTCTGAAAAGTATATTTCGAGGTGTTACAAACGGAATGACAAACTTAATATACCCTCCATACTATGGGGAAGGGTATAAAAAACATTTCGTCTGATATAGCCTTAAGAACGGAAGAATTATGGAAATATTCTATAAACTTATGATTGTAATAAATTATAAACATTGTGTATCGACATCCCTATTTCTCCCAACACAACATGTATGAATCAAACCTGTCTGTTCTTTGTTGTTAACAGTTTGGTTTGATGATATGCTTTTTGTTCTGTGTTGGTATACAACAATATTTGCAGCCCTTTTTTGTTGAAGCAAGTTTTTTCACTTTATTTTTGTTGGTGTAGTTGGTTATTATTTTATATTACTGCTGTTGTTGTTGTTGGTATTGTTTGCGATTTTCAGCCGTTCAGCTTTGCTTTTGTTCTGTTTGCTGTAATTCTTTAAAAACGTTTGTCGATGGCAGTTAAACGATCAGTTCGAACTTTAAGCGCTTAGGAGAATCGTTAAGCTTGACTTGCGACCTAAGCGGAATATAAATATTATTTTTAATAAAATATATATTCAAGTGAATAAAGAGAAAAAACTAAGGAATAAATAATTTATGGTACAAAAAGTGCATTAATTAAACATTCATTTAAAGACTAATTATAAAACAATAAAACTATTTCTTTAAAAAGTGTTTTTTACTAGTGTTACGTTGACGTACAAATTTTAAAAAATTAAGTTTTAAATAGAAACGAAGAAGTGAAATAAGAAATTAAACACTGTTAAACAATTATTTTACATTAAAATATCTGCAGAGAGTGAAACAAAAGAAGTCATAAAATTATTAGTTACAAATAATTTTAGTGATTATTTTGAGCTTATTTGAAATAATATAAAAAAATAATTGAACAAGGTGAGTGCTAGAAGTGTTTATAGAAATATTAAAACAAATGTTTTTAAGTCTAAAATTTGCGTAAGAGTTGGATATACAATTACTAACAATTAATGTTTTGTGTAAAATGTTCTTATTATAGTGTGTGATAAATTTGTTAAAATCATTAAACATTATTAACAATAAAAATACAAGGACTTGAACAGTGGATAATGACGCTTAAGAAACAATTAATCCTTAATGAATGAATAATGAATACAAAATAAACCAAACTTAGAATTTCTTAAGGTGAGAATACATAAAACGCTTTTTTAACCGGCTTAAGTCATCGACTACCTTCTTCGAACTAAGTCAACCTAAAACTCCTGTGTTCACTGAATCCTAGTGTAATGGGTCACTAGATCGCGGGAAAAATTATAAGTGCTGGTTCCATCCATGGCACAGTCATGGTGGTGTGGTGGGAATTTCTTACGATTTTTTTTGAGTTACCGACAAATATCGTTAAAATTAAAACGCAATATTATAAATGAAAAATCCAAAGTAAAGTTGACAACACTGTTGCTACCGCGGTAGATGAATACAAGCTTGGGAACATGTCAAAAATTTTAAAATGTTTTTTTCAAATATAAGTAGATTTTTATGGTTTCTTATGCGACTTCAATCGGAGGTTATTACCTCCTGCATACGAAAATTTTCCCCATAGGTTGTAGTAACCATTGACATCTCCCAATATGAAATTTGAAACAATTCCGGTGAATAATTTCGCTAAAATAATTAAAATACCGAATATCGGGAGGTACTGTTATATGGGGGCTATACGAAGACGTAGACCTGCATAGACAATTTTCAATACCAAAAGTCCTGCAACCATAATATACATTTGAGTAAAATTTTATCAAGTTGTTTTATCAGTTGACAACACCTTTGCTATCGGTAGGACTTAATGACAGCTTCATTTTGGTCGGTAACTTAATAAAAAAATTTAGTTAATTTCCGAAATTATAAGCATTTAATTTTAATGATTTTTGTCAGTAACACCAAAAATGAGTTAGAGGATCACACTACCGATCATCTAAATTTGTTGTCAAAGCAGATACAAATAAGTACGCAAATATGCATGGAAAATGGGCTCCAAAATAAACATAACCTAAGGCTACATTTACATTGAATCTCTTACAGCAATAATTGACAAATTAAAATAAATTTGATTGAATAGTGTTTGCATGTAGTAGCATGGTACAATGATATCAAGGTAGGGCTATGATACCATATGATTTCAATTTTTTTTTATTTTCTTGGCTTAATATGTCATATTTATTTGTTTATGTATGTGTTTTCTTTTCAATAACAAAAAAATTGTTCAGAAAACATTCAAATTCGGGTGTTTTCAAAATGTTTATTTCAACGTATGCATCGACAAAATCTAGAGTTTTTGTAGCGAAATAATCCTTTAGAGATATATAGTACATGATTTTGAAAAGAAGTGTTGACCTTTCATTCAGTTATCGCGGTTTTCAATTATTTATTCAAAATATATGCAACAAGTTGTTTGATTTTTTATGGTTTTGATACTAATTCTGACATTACAAGCCAAACAGGTAGACCTCTATACTTGCAATTTTTTCAAAGTTGCCCTACCTTCTCTTCGTTGTACCATGTGTAGTAGTTAGTTGTTGGAAAATCGTTAGGCTTAATCCCATTATTGTTGTTTTTTATAAAAACAACTTTTGTTTATTAGTGGAGAACGATGGTAATGTTTACCAGGGGTAAAATTGTCAAATTGCTGTTAAAAGAAGTCTTCTTGTCCAACTTTATATAGGCCTTGGTTCGTTATTCTTTTTGTTTGCTTTATACAAGTACAATAAAAAATGTTGCGTAAAATTCGCTACAGCCGCTACCTTAAACAGCCAAATTCGCTACTGTAGCGGTTAAGAAAGAAAATCGCTACAACTCTAAAACAGTGGTTTTTATACAATCACCACAAGTAGCGGGAAAACCGCCAAATTGGCATCTCTGCTCAAAGACAACTTTTGTGAGAAATTTGGGAGAGAGAGAGAACAGAGGTGAAGGAGTTTAATATATTAATTTCTTCACAAATATAAATATTTCTTCACATTCAGACAGGTGGAGTTCTGAAAAAAAAAACATTTGTGTGCAAAATTCTTTTTACTTTCCAATAGCAAGTAATTTATATAATACCCTGTGATAAATACAAGTGCGCCCAAGACTTATTGGTGCACAAATTGTCAAGGCCACGTGTTTTTACTTCTTTATTATCATTCAAACTTGGTCATGCTGTTTAGCTCTTAATTGAATGAATTTAATTATTGATATTATTATCATACTAACATTAGCTGTTGTCGGCGAGAAGACAAAATAAAAAACGTGCAACCTATAATGTATTCCAGAACACAGGAAATAATCATTAGATGCATTTGTTGCTAAGCCTTACTTAATACACAATACATAGCATTTTCTTTATGTTCTTCACTTTTAACTAATAAATCACAACAATTCAATAAGAACAAGAATCGATGAACAATGAATGACGTGCATCTGTTTGGCAAATAAAAAAATTCTTTTGTTTTTTTCACGATTTTTGTTGTGTATTTTATTTGAAATGCTAATAATAAATATGCTATGTAATGACCGGATTATGTAATTACATCTTTTCATAAGGTCAGCAGGAGATTAGATGTTTGAGGGGAAATGTAATTCCCATTGCAATTTGCGAATATTCTTAAGATACGCTACTGTTTCTTTGGTGTTACTTTAGAGTTAAGTCGTTTTTCGTGTGGGTTGATTTTATATAAGCTTTCAGTAGTGTTTTTTCTAAGTGAAATCGTTGTCGCGCTAATGTAATTTATTCCGACATTTCAACTGTTCTAAAGTATTGAATTGAAATAATCTTAGTACTTTAGACTATGCGGTAAATGTTATAAAGACATTTATGGAAAGACAACTTTTTTGGAATCCAGAAAAACAAAACATGTGGAAGTTAAATAATAGAAATAAATTGTGTTTTTAAGAAAAAAAAAAATAAATAAATAAAAAAATAAAACATATGAATGTCAATGACAACCCTGTGTTGGGTTATGCAATTTGTTAATCCTTTATGTTTACCGTAAACGTAAACAAAGAGATCGATTGTCATTTGTTGCAAGTTAAGCAGAGTACACACCATCGTTTAATTTATTTTTATTGGATACCTTGTGTGGAATTTTACATTTATCTCCTTTACTAGATTTTATTTTAGCGTAATATTGAACATTTTTTGAGGTATATGGTTATTTGATTATTTATAAGCATTTATTTGAGGCATTTGCAATGGAATTAATAATTTAAATCCTCTGGGTTTAATAAAACCGGTAAATTGTAATCGCACTATAATTTTTCTGCAAGAGAAACATTTATATTCTATCTTTTAATTAACTAAATGCACGTTCAGATACAACATTTTATCCGGATTAACCATCATTATATGGACAATGAAATATCAAACCGATTTTGGAATTAAATATTTTCCATGAAAAAATATTGCAATAAAAAAAAATATCATATTAACCTCCGATTGGTTATATAAAAATCTTGTTATTTTTGATAAAACATTTTAAAAATGTTGACATATCAATGTTCCTGTATTCCTTATTCTCACCTGTACTGTCTTTTTTGTGTTCAGAACTGAAAAAATGTGCTAGAATTTACAAATATTTTGTATCTAGTAACCCATAATTACCAGGCAAATAAGTAGTAACAAAGGGTAAGGGTGAGAATACATAAAATGCTTTTCTGACTTCATCGGCTGGAGTCTTTGTAAAGGAGTTTTAAGTTAACTTAGTTTGATTTTGGTCCTATTTTCCTTAAAAAATTCTAATCTCTAGTCAAAAAAGCGTTTTAAGCATTCTCACCTTAAGAGTCGAGCTACACTAGCAGCGAAGCATGCGTTGCGACTTTAATTTAATTTTACCGTGAAATACTACTAACTTTCTATGCCGCTTATGAGTCTTGTGTAATTTTATAAATAACGTAGAAAAGTAGTAACCATGGCTCAACAAGAAAGGTTGCTCAACTTCAAGGAAACCAGAAAAATGCAACTCTGTACTGGAGTCTCATTATGTCAAATAGACATGCAACAATTAATTATACACTTTGCTGCCCGTTTACCTGGAAATATGCACTTTTCTTGTCCCTAATTTTGAAAAAATTACAAAAACAATTTTTGCAAATTTAAATACATTTTTTAATTCAACATTTTCAATTCTAACATTGGTTTGACAGTTCATTGTCTCATCAGCTGTGTCGATGCGTCTACCTATACTCTTCTACCATGCATTTTAGTAACCATGGTAGAAGAATACAGTAGATGCATCAATACTTGGGAACGTGAAATGTCAAAATTTTAAATTTTTTTTTTTGTATATAAGTAGATTTTTATATGTTCTCTTATGCGACGTCATTCGGAGGTTATTATAATTTGCGTTTTCTCATTTTTTTTTGTAAATTTAAATAATTTTTCATGCAAAATTTTAAATTTCAAAATTGGTTTGACAGATTATTGTCACATCAGCTGTGATGATGCGACTATCTGTACTCTTCTACCATGGAAGTAAGAAAGAAAAAAAGAGAAGTAAACAACTATAATTTTATTTTTTATTCATAATTTCTCTACTGTTTTAATATTTTGTTAAATAATAAATTAATTCAGTTTTCTTGTTTGTTTTAGTGTAATAGTATGTTTATATTAGAGTTTTTGATTAAAATCCTCTGTGTTCAATAAATCTTGTAAACGTACTATAAAATATATTATCAAGTGTTTGGAAAATAAAAGATTTAATGAACTTAGTGTGACTAAGTCAAACACGTGAAACATAACCGCCAAGTTGTCTTATCATGGTTATATTTTCAGTCCATTAATTTTGCGTTTTTCTTGATAACTCGAGCTCTAATTATTGTGGTGGCACGGCAAGCGATTGTTACAATTGAGTCCGTCGAAACCCCAATATAGAATCTCATTGTACGCT